ACTTGGGATTTTCAGGGGTATGTACCATTCTTGCTCAGATGGGCATGTCTTTCCTACTGTTCCCTCCCCTTCTTCCTGTCCCTTTTCCACTTACTAATAATTACTTGGTGGCATTCAGGATTTTGAAGAGACAGCTCTTCCCAGCATTTAAAAGTACTTCTCAGTTAAATACTATATCTCATGTGAGTTAGGCCTTGAGAAACCAGAGTCCTTTGTCTGCATGGTTGTACTGAGTATTGTATTTTCAGAAAAGAGTGAGAGGTTATCAATTTGTATTATATGACCTATGGTTAACTCATATACTTAAAAAGGGAATATGGGTCTTTAGAATCACAGTACAGGCAAAGAAAACATGAAATATGTAAAGTCATAGACAGTTTTTTGTCAAGGTACTTGCTGGAGGTGTTAGGTTGTAGTGAATAATCACCAGAATAACGTTCAGAAAATCATCCAGAACAACAGACACAAACTATGCCACAACAAACATATATGTTGACTCAAATGTTATATGTTATTTCTTGTTTGCGTGAAGTTTAAAGTGGGTGTTTCCCATAGGTGGGTGGCTCCTTTGGTGACACAGGCTCTTTTCAGCTTTCAGCTGCAAGTTAATTGGTCGCCTACAGTTAGTTGGAGGAAAGGAAATGGAGCGTTATGTGTGGAAGGTTTTCATTGAGCCAGGCCTGGAGTGGCACGTGTAGTTTTTGGTGTATGTGTATGTATATGTATATTCCATTGTAAGGATTTTTAAAAAATGTGACAGGGTTTTGCTCAGTCGGTCACTATCTGACTTTACCCAGGCTACTATTCTGAGAATACAGGGAGCAAAGGCAAGAGCAGAGACACTAGTTAGGAGATAATTGTAGTAATTCAGGCATGAGATGATGTTTTAGATCAAGGTAAGTGTGATGGACTTGGTAAAAAGTGGTCAGAATTTAGGTTTATTTTGCAGATAAAACAGTTTGCTGATAGATGGATATGTGATGTGAGGGAAAGAGAACTAAAGGATAACTGAAGATTTTTGCCTAAGTAAGATTATGGGAAAGAACAAAAAGGTTTGGGAGAGACAGTTCAGTTTTGGCTTTGTTGACATGGTAGTGGCATAATTGTAAATTGTTTTGTACTTTTTATTGTCAGATATAGAAAGATTGAACATTCTTTCAGTTCTAGGCACTATTCCATGTCAGTACACGTAGATATACTGCATAACATTACCTTTTGTTGTTATATTTGAAAAACATGTTCTCAGGCTCTACTTTGCACCCTTTACAAACATTAACTCAATCCTAGTATTAGCTCTGATATGCTGTCATTATTTGTCAGTTATAGATAAGTAAACTGAGGCCCAAGAGAGATTAATATACCTAAGGTAACATAATTTGGAACTAGCAAAGTCACTGCATGGTAGTCCATTGTATGGTTATCATAATTCACTTCACAAACCAACTAATGACAGATCTGAGGATAGTTCCAGTTTGGGAGTCATTATATGTTGCATAGAACATCCATTTTTCATATATTTGGACATTGGTGTGTTTTAAATAAGAATGGGAATACTGGGCCAAAAGATATACACATTGCTTGTTTTAACAAATATCAAAATCACTATAGCATGACCTTCAAAAGAATAATCCCAATTTACCCTCCCAGGATGACCATCTTTTTTTCTTTTTATAATTCTCTAATCTGGTAACATTTTTGCTCATCTACCTGTACAGTTTTTAAAAAGGTTTTATTTATTTATTTTCAGATAGAGGGTATGGGAGGGATAAAGGAAAGGAGAGAAACATCCATGTTCGAGAGAAACGTCAGTCAGTTGCCTCTCGCACGCCCCCACCTGGGGACCAGGCTGCAACCCAGGCCTATGCCCTGGCAGGGAATCGAACTGAACCTTTCCATTTGCAAACTGGCGCTCAGTCCACTGAGCACACCAGCCAGGGCTCCCTATATGTTTTAATAATGAATAATGAATCAGGAGTAATGAATGAATTACTCCTGTCATTTGTAATGGTTCTGGGTAGTCTGATTAAATCCTGTTGAATTTATAGCAGTTGCTGGAGAACATAAAGAGTAGCAAGTATTCAAGCCAAGGAAAGTTTCTGTGTGAATGGAAAAACACTGTTTGGACTGGGGTGGAATGACTTATTCATCAGATTGCTAACTCCTCCCCAAAGGTAACTACTATCCTGACTTTTGTAACACATTAGATTAGTTCTGTATGTGTTTACACTTTGTTTTTGTTTTTGTTTTTATCCTCACCTGAGTTTTGGTGTTTTTTTGCACTGCTTTTAGAGAGAGGGGGCGGCGGGGGGAGGGAGGCGGGGGGAGGGAGAGAGAGAGAGAAACATCAATTGGTTGCCCTCTAGCTCACACTACAACCAGGAATGTAACCCACAACTTGGGTATGTGCCCTGACCAGGAATGGAACCCTCGCCCTTTCGGTCTATGGGAAGACACTCCAAGCAACTGAGCCACACCAGCCAGGACAAATTTTGTGTTCTTTCACTTTGCTTTTTTCCCCTCAATATCTTGTTTGCGAGGTTAGTCCATGATGTTGTATATTGCAGTAACTTGTTCATTTCTTTGTTGTATAGTATTCTAGTACATGAATATTTATCCATAGTGCTATCGATGGTGTGTTTCCAGGCTTGGATTATTACAGTTGTACTACTTTGAGCATTGTTATAACCGCCCTTTGATGGATGCATTTGTACACTTCTTGGCAACGAACTTGTTTTGTCATAGGGTTGGGAAATAGTCAACTTTATTAAATTCTGCCAGTTTTCAAGTTGGATATACCAGGTTAAACTCCCACCAGCAGTCTATGAGAGTTCTGGTTGCTCTACCAGCTCTAGATGCATTGTGTTTTTCATTAGAGCTATTCTGACAGGTATGCAAGGATCTTGCATTTGGTTTTAAATTACATTTCCATGATTAATAAAGTTGGGCATGTATTTTACCTGGCATTTTTATACCTTTGAGTTGAAGTACCTGTCTGTGACAAGGTTCTTCTCATAAATACTCTACTTTTTTTTTTTACAAGTAAAACTTTAAAGTAGACTCCATTATATAAAACAGATTAAAAAGAGTATTTCTTGAGAGGCAGTATTATAACATGATAATTCAAAACAGATTCTGGACCCAGATTCCTCCATTAGGAATCCTCGTTTTTCCATTTATTAGCTGTGTAACTTTGGGCAAGTTACTTAACTCCTTCTTGCTTCAGTTACCTCATTTCTAACATGAATATAATAATACTTCCACCACAAGATTAATGTCAGGCTCAAATAAGTTAGTTTATATAACACATAGGACAATATATAGTACATAATAAGGACTAATAATGTTAGCTGTTAGTGGTGATGGCGATACAGATTTATTTTATGGCTTCGTATCAAGTTAGCTGACAAGAATAATGAGGGTTTAGTGTGGGACACAAATCTGAACTTGAGGGTGGTAGATAACAGTTGTGGTTGTATTTTAGCCTTAGCCGCCATGTTTATTTTGCTCTCTTGGTTGCATAATACCAAGAAAATCTTGAAGATGTGCAATTAAAAATAGGTAACAGTTTACCCAGTAGTTTTAGCATTAAGCTTTTAGATCAGATTGACAGGTACTAGAAATGGTTACTAAATATCTCAATTTGCTTTGTATTTACTCTTTTTAAATAAAAAGCAGAGAAGTAGCACTAAAAATTATGGTTTCGATATTTATTGTATTATCACAGCACAACTGCATTACAAGTTTGCTTTTTATTGTTACAGGATGAGATGAGTAGCGGGAGTGCTAAGGCCTTACCTGGCACAATAAGGTGTGCATCAGGGGGACGGCCATGTGCGTTTACTCACTGGTATAAATTTAATGAGCCAAATGAGAGGCTTGATTGGAAACAAATCGGAAGTCAGAGCTACAGTTTTCCTAATTAGTAACATATTTTCAAGATATTCAAACAAAGGTGGCAAGTAAAGCTACACAAACCAATATGAATATAGCAAGCAGCATATACTATGTGTAGTGTCGTGTTGGCCGTGTTCACATTAGGCATATGAAAACATTTGTATGGGTCCTGTGATAGTTCATAGTAGTTCCTTCTACAGCCTTTTGGCATAGTCACGGATTATCTCTTCCAAACTGCCTTGTGTATTGGCAGGTAGCTGACCCTTACACCAGGAAGGAATTTCTAACTACTATCAGGTGTGTTCAGACTTAAGTGAGCATCTTGACAAGCTCCTCTAGCACCAGCTGTATCTCTCCACAGCAGACTGCCACCCACTACTTCGTAGCCAGCATGGGCTTCTGCAGGCTGGCCGGTCTCCCCTCTCGGCCTACCCCCAGCATGGTTTTGTGTTCCCATCTCTGTGGTAGCAGTGCCTGGGACACTTTCGTCCTAAAACTTCTTTTTAGATATTTTAAAGATTTTTTTTCTAGTCTAAAACTTCTTTGCTATCATAAAGTGGTACTCAGTGAACACTTCCCCAAGTCAGTGCCCCTCACAAACTCCATCAGCAGAGGGAGCTAAATAAAAGAGGATGAGTCCCTGAAATGAAGACTCAAAGCAGAACAAGCATCCCAGTACTTATAAACGGTGACATTTTCACATACTGCTCTGTAGGGAAAAAAAGCTTGAATTATGTTAGAAATCAATGATTTGGGCCCTAATCCTAGGCTAAAATTTCTGTGAGGTGATTTGTAAAGTGTTTTTGAAAGAGTTAATCTTACATCATTTAAAAAACCTATTTGGGGGATGACCTGATAAACGTATGCATGTTAGGAGAAGCAGTCTGGTGTTTAATGTTTTAAAATCCAGTTTATCTGCCTTCTGAAAGTTTTATTTATTAGGGATGATAAAATGAGGTTACTAGCTTTGTGAAGAATTTCATATGCAGCACCAAGTCCTAAAGTTGCTAAGGATTATGGATAATGCATTCCAAGATTTTAAAGTGGAATTTTCAAGTAAATTATTTCTATTTTGTTTTGATTAAGTGTATGTATCTTAATTTCAGTTAGCAGACTTGAAGAAAGAGAAGCAGAACTGAAGAAGGAATATAATGCATTACATCAAAGACACACTGAGGTGGGTTTTTGGGTTGTTCTTACCATGCTGATATTGAGACAAAAAATTAACCTTAGGAATTATGTCTTAAGTTTTCTTTGAAAATCAGCTAGTATAAGTCTTGGGGATTATTTTCAGAAAACATTAAATTTCATGTAGCATTTGCCTAATTACCAAATGTTTGCTTTTAATGTTTTTTTATTTGGAATTAACTTTTCATTTGATGAATCAGCGTGCCTCCAATAGTTGTTTCTTTGGCTGGTCAAATAAAAACTTAGGTGTGCATAATAAAAAGTATACATGATGCTAACATGAGAAAGTTGATTTAATTTATTTTTTTAATAATTGAGAGATGATGGATTGGTAAATTATGTGTAGGAGTCTCTACATTTATAATTCAGATAAAAGACTTACTTGCTGTAAGCTTATAACAAAGAACATAAATACAAATTATAATGTGTTAAATCAAAATGACTCTAAAACAGGTTTTCCGCATGAAATTTCAGTATTTTAATAGGACAGCTGCTCCTAACATATCATAACATTTATTTATTTAAAATTACAAAGCAAAAATATTAATATTTTTCAGTATTTTAAATTAATAACCCCAGCACATAATCTCTCCAAAGTAAATTAAAAAATGTACTTGAGGGTATTTTTTTAACCTCCTTTTATGGTTCTCTGTCAGCCTTTCATTTGTTGCTTTTGTTTATATCTCAATGTGAAAATTGTTTCTGTTGTATCATGATCAGTTTGGGGGGTCACATACCTAAATATATAGAATTTTCATAGATACGTGCACTATTTGTTACGAGAAAAAAGAATTCCTGTCTTTCTCCCTTTCTAGTCCAGCCTCTCCCGAGATACAGATGATTCCAGTCTTCAGCTCCCATTTTTCCTTTTACTAGTTTGTGTGATCTTTTATCCCACTTCTGGTGAAACCTATGTATTGTTGCTTTTCAGGGAGATAAAACCCACTGCATTCAGTTTTATTGGCTTTGGAATAATGTGCTTAACACTTTCTTGGGGAGGGGTTTGAGTTTCTTTCTGAAATAAGATTTGATATTACTGTCTTAGCTTGCAGAGCCATACACGAAGCATGAATTGTCACAGAACTGAAAATCAGCGATATAGGGGAAAGACTGGCCACAGAGGGCTGGGACCATAGAGCTCTGGGAAGACAGGGACAGCTTTACAGCGGCCTTTCAGTATATAAAAAATACCCACGTTTTAATTAGATGGCGCCTGGTGGATATCAAGACTGTTAAAAAACAATTGTTTGGTAAAGGCTTATTGTTGGTTCTTTTTATATTATTCATTTCAGTGGCTGAACAATGCCTCGTATGTAGTGTTTACTAGTAGGTTTTATCAATGCTCTAATTATGTTTGGGGGGATATGTATATGTACCAGAAATAATTGATAGTGATGAATGATCCTTTTTTTTTCATTGACATTCTAACCTTTGTAGTAATTGAGGATTATTTAATTAGGATGTGTTAAATTGAACTATGCATAAAATACGTGCATTCTTGAAAATCACCATAAAATGAAATTTCATATGTCTCCTCACATTTTATTTATTTATTTATTTTGAGAGAGATGGGAAGAGAGGGAGGGAAACCTTTATGTACGAGAGATACTTCAGTCAGTTGTGTCTCACATGCCCCCAACCAGGGACCTAGCCTGCAACCCAGGCATGTGCCCTGACTGGAAATCGAACCAGCGGCCTTTCAGTTCTCAGGCCGGCACTCAACCCACTGAGCCACACCAGCCAAGGCCACGTATTTATTTAATAAAAGTGAGGTTCCCACAGAAAAACAACCTGACACCTTGAAATAAAAAGATATAATAATTTTTCTGTCCTAGTCCTTCACAGAAGGATAGTTCGAGGAAGAAAAAAGATCCCTGGAGAAATCTTAAATACTAGCTCAAGAGCTGGGCCTGTGCAGTTACCAAGGCTGATTTGGCATGTGGTAGGCCACCTCTTTTCATGCGGCCCTCTCCCTCAGTCCCAAGCAGCTCCTGTCCTCTGCCCTGATTGGCTCCCTTTATTTTGCCCTGCCTCAAGGAAGGTTTACGTAGCACTGATGTAGCTGCTTTGAAATGTGGGTTTGTTCCACTGGAGACCACATTCCTCTGTGTTTATACATCTGTCCAAGAAATGTCATTCAATTAGCAGCTATAAATAGCTATCCAGTGCTAATGAACCAGGTGTCCTTCAAAGGTAAATTCTGGAAACCTTCAGGGAAAGGAAGTCTGAAGGATTTAACCTTCATTTTTTCAGGATTATTACAAACTAAGGCAAGCTTTTAAAATAGGCACAAAAAGTGTTTAAATAGCACTTATATCCAAAACATTGTTTGATGCTTAGGAAAAATCTATAGCTATTTTTGTAAAGTAAACAACTGTGTTCTAATCAAATCCAAAATTGTACACATTACTGAATTTGCTTAAAAGAAGATATCCTTAAAGAAGAGGAAAGTTGAGGAAATATAAACATCAAGTAATTGTGAGGCGCTTGGCCACATGTGTACATACTCTTAATAGTAATTCGCAAAAACTTGAACCCTGGTCTTGTATCAGGGAGTATTTACATGCATTCTCATTTTATCCTCTGATCAAACCCATTTTACGTATTGAAGTTTCAAAAGAGTATGAGGTGATTTGTTCCAAATCACATGCTAGTATGTGACTGGATTTGAATCTAGGTCTGTCTAAATCCATTGCCTGAATTTTCAATAATGCTTATAGGTTGTGGAACACATGGACATTAAATGTACTAGAAATTTTTCTGTGCCTCTTTGCTTTATGGCATCTCAGCAATTTTAAGAAGAGTGACTCTGTGGATGTAGATGTGTGATTGTTGGGCTGCATATGGAAAGATTCAAGGTCAACACGATTAAAGGGATCCATGCTACTATCTTCAAAACCTCACTATTGCCATTCATTCTTAGTCAAAGCCGACAGTCAACCTCTGCTGTGAAGATTTCTCCAGGTGGGAGGGGAGTTGGGATTTTCCAGACAGTATGTTTTCAATCCTTTTTTGTGACTCTAGCTATTGGTTGCTGAATTGATACTTGACTATGTATGAATAGATGTGCATACTTGAGAAAGTTAAGAACTGCAGTTCTACCCTGGCTGGCGTGGTTCAGTGGATTGAGCGCCAGCCTGCAAACCAAAGGGTTGTTGGTTCGATTCCCAGTGTAGGGCACATGCCTGCGTTGCAGGCCAGGTCCCAAGTAGGGGGCGCGCAAGATGCAACCATACATTGATGTTTCTCTCTCTTCCTCCCTCCCTTCCTTTCTCTAAAAATAAGTTAATAAAATCTTTAAAAAAAAAAAAAAGGAACTGCAGTTCTGATATCAGGAGGGATGAGGCTGGTGGACTCAGCAGTAAACTGTCTAAAGCATATCCCATTTTACTCTTATCTCTTTCTCTTCTATATGGCAGTACTGATCCTGCCCTCCTACTTGTGATTTTCAAAGACCAGAGCTACATTGTGAAGCCTTGAAATTAAAATTTATTTTTGGTACAATTTATATTTTCTACTCTTTTGTGCATTTACAGAATTAGTGCATATTTTAATACAGACGTCAGGAAATACTTAAGGGTGTGGGGTTTTCTTGTGGGTGTGAGGAAGAAACAACAATGAGCTTATTGTCTGCCTCCAGAATTGACTAAAAGGTCAGATACACCATGAGTCCTGTAAGGCTTACCTGCTCAGTTGACTAATCCAGAGGGACCTGAGTTCTGGCCCCAAAGCCAACCAGCTAATGTCAGAACATAGTTGATTATTAACTAACTGGTCAAAGAGGACAAGTTATTTTAACCTCCTTAAACTGGAGCCCCCTAAAATTCTAACATTGTTTGAGGTTTAAATGAAGCAATGGCTGTAAGTGCACTGGTTGACTTGTAGTTGGTGCTCAATAAATGTTAGCTGCTACTTTGTGATTATTCTCCCCTATTAACTTCTAGAGTAGTGGGACTAGAACCAATTTCATTACCTAGACCATTCTGGAATGTTAGAATACTATATCTGAATTGGGATCAGTCATTTGAAGAAGGTTTAGAATTCAACATTTTCTAATTTAAAAACATTTTTTATTTAATCATTTAAGACAATCCGTAGATAGGCTTTTGGGGGGTAGAACTGATTCTATCTGCATTTTATTTATAATTCTTTTTATTCTATATTAAATAAATAGATTAGGATGAAAGCAATCTAGGGGAGGTTTCTGTTCATCTGGATTGCTTAATGAAATTTAGATTCTTCCATTGGAACTAAGCGATTTTATATGGTTACCATCCAGAATAAAGGAACTCAGCTTAGGTTTTCTAAAACCTTTTGAAGATGTAAATTGATATTTGGCTAAAACATCACCTTGTTATATTAGTCTTGTTTAAATATTTTTCTTTAAAGTTTTTCCTGATACAAGAAGAGAACAGCTCATTATTTCTGGCTTGCTGGCACAGAGACAGAAACAGCATTTTTGCAAAACTGTTATTAAAGAGAAAATCTGTAAATCTAAAAGTATATATATAAATTTAAAAGTTGAAAAATATTTTCACATACCATATTCATGTGATTCTATATTCATTTTTCTTTGCCTGGTACATTTCTTGTTTGGACTAGTCTTAAGTGGGGAACAAGCCTGATTAGTTATTTTAAAATGTTTGAGCCCTGGCTGGTGTGGCTCAGTGGAATAAGTGCTGGCCTACAAACTGAGGAGTCACTGGTTTGATTCCCTGTTGAGGTGCATGCTTGGGTTACAGCCAGCTCCCTTCTTCCTTCTTTTCCCTCTCTCTAAAAAATAAATAAAATATTTTTTTAAAATGTTTAATTTGATAGCTACTCATCTTAATTCATACATGAGTTCAGCGTTATGTTTATTTGATGTTAATAACTTTCAGATTGATTTAGATATTTATAACGATTGTACATGAATGCCAAGTAAAATGCAACAAAAACATAGTTTAAAAAATTTTTTAAATTTTGTTTAAAATGTTTTCTTTCAATAGTTATCCTTTTAATATGCTACAATGAATATTTAAATTAATATTGAACCCTGCCTTCATATAGCTAAAACTTAGAAACTTACAAAGATAAACTACAGTTTTAAGAATTCAGGGAATATTCCCAAAAAAGATATTGACTTTTTTGGTTTTTGCCTACTTTTAATATTTACATTCATTGTGGTTTTTTTTTTTATTGTTGTTCTATCACAGTTGTCCCAGTTTTCTCCCGTTGCTGCCCCCCACCAGTCAATCCCTTATCCTGTTGTCCATGTCCATGGGTCATTTATGCCTATTCATTGATTAGACCCTTCCCCTTCTTTTTCCCCTTACCCTTCCCCCCTCTTTTGTTATTTTTTAAAATTTATTTTTTCTTATTCATGCATCTAGCAAAGCTTTTTATTTTATTATTGAAACTGGTTGCATTTTGCATATTCTAATTTAAGTTTTTTAAAAGTGGAACAACAGATTACTGAGAATCAAATAGGATTATAGAATTTCTTGGCAGTTTGTATACTTGATATTCTTGACATTTTTCACTCCAATATTCAACCTGTCTGTACGAGACACAAAATCAAAGTGCTCTGATTTTTTATTTGTTTAATGTGCTGTTATTATAGATAATTAGATTAAGTAACAATACCAGTAAATTAGCAGTCAAACAAAGGGGAAAATATATTAACATTCTTTCAACGAAATATAGAAATAACATCTTGGCATGTAATTAATTCAATTCAAAGTGATCTTTACTTTGAATCCTTTGTAAAAAAGAAAAGATCACCACATAAAGATATGGTTTTGTTAAACAAAAAACTTTCACAGCTAAAAGTTCTGAGGACATCTTAGATTTTTCTCCTTGTCAGTTTCTTCTTGTTTTATTTTAATTTTTTCATTGTTTCCCATTACACTGAATGAACTTCTCAAATGCCCTCTATTATTTATTTTAACCAATTCTCTGATCACCTCCTCCCAAGTGTCTATATCCTAATTTGTGTTATTTATGTCAAAATTATGTCATTTAATAGCATCACAGTGTAAAGGAGTTGTTTTGCTATGCTAAGCGGCATGTTGGCTACTTTTATGGACACCAGCATTCTTAAATGTAAGCATTCGCCTGTTTCTTTGCCACCAAAAAATTTTTTTAACTGAGTTTATTGGGGTGGCATTGGTTAATAACGCGTACAGGGTTCAAGTGTTCAGTTCAAGAAAACATCATCTGCGCACTGCATTGTGTACCCATTACCCAAACTCAAGTCTCTTTCCCCATTTATGCCTGCTTTGCCCTCTTCTACCTCCTGCAACCCTTCCCCCCAAAATTTTTTCATTCTGATACTTTTAAAAAATACTTTTTAAAATTGACTTATTATTTTTTAGAGCGAGAGGTGGGAAGGAGGCAGAGAGAGAGTGTGTGAGTGAGAGAGAGCCATTGATTTGTTCTACTTATTTATGCATTCGTTGGTTGATTCTTGTATGTGCCCTGACTGAGGATTGCACCTGTAGCCTTGGTGTATTGGGATGATGCTCTAATCAACTGAGCTACCCAGCCAGGACCTAGTATTCCTTTATATGGAGCTATGGGTAGTCTGATAAATAAGCGATTTATACAAAAATGTTTTCTTGTTAAAATGCCATGTTTTTATTCCAGGTATTAGTCTTAAATTTTTATGTATTATTTTTCCTTCGAAACAGATGATCCATAATTATATGGAACACTTAGAAAGAACAAAACTTCATCAGCTCTCAGGGAGTGATCAACTAGAGTCTACAGCTCATAGTAGAATTAGGTAAGCTGTGATATATATATATGTTTTGCTTTGAGAAAAAAGGAATTAATAATCTGTCTATTTCTGTTTCTCTCTATTCTTTAATCCTGGAACAATAGTTAGGCTGATTCAAAAGCTCTCTACTGTGGTTGGAATGCTATAGGAAAGAAGAGCATAGAAAAATAGAAACAACCGTTACTATTTCAAAGGTAAATTGTGAGCAGTGTCATATAAGCAGCATATTGAGGTATTTTGGTTGTTTCCTAATAATGGAAATTACAGTAGGATAAATTTTTTCTGATTTGTGGGAACACCGAACATATTCAATTCTCCTGGTTTAAAGTCCTTTTTGTTACTGAGAGGCATGTTTGAAAGGGTTAGAGAGACTCCTGTTTGATGTAGGAGTGTGAATAAATTATGTAGATCTCCAAGCACTGTAGCCAATGAGCTAAGCCAGGACTCTTAGTGGAGAGGAACATAGTTAATAGGCTGCCTGTCGCTCAGGATTGCTGCATAAATGCTAGGGGCAGCAGCTCTATGGTTATGAGGTGGGGAGAGCGGGGTGACGTCATCGCTCCGGAGCTGCTGCAGGACGGAGTGGAAAGCTGCTGCTGATGGCATTGTTTTCGTGGCAGCAGCTGAATGACAGATCCTTACTACAAAGATACCCCTTTGGCCCCCGTGTAGGCCTCCTGGTTCGGGCGGTTCACCATGCCAGCACAGCGCCATGAGTCCTGGATGCATGCTGCTGTTTGTGTTTGGCTTTGTTGGCGGGGCGGTGGTCATTAATTCTGCTATCTTAGTATCTCTGTCTGTTTTGCTGCTTGTGCACTTTTCTATCTCTACCGGTGTGCCAGCTCTGACGCAGAACCTACCAAGGATACTCAGGTACTCCAGTCTCTTGTAGAGCCCCTGTTTTGTTGGTTTTTCTCAAGCTTCATGCATCTGCTTTGTAACCATTTCTGTTGCAGATTGAAACAATGGAAAATGGCCTGAAGGGTTTCTATTTTTATTTGTATTCATGGTAGGCCAGCTTTTAGGGATGCTGCTTTGTGTTTGGAAACCACGGACTTAGGAAAAGGGTTTTCATATTGTGCTTACCTACAAGTACAAGGTCAGTGTGGTCTTGTTTTAAACAGAGTGTTGAAAGAGTGAGGGGCAAGCAGAAGTAGAGTGCCAGGTCCAAGTTCATATACCCTCTGTTTTAGCATAGGGGCTTTTAAGGGCAAATATCTTTTATACTGGGACTTGGAGTTGATTAGACAAAGGCTGCAGGTGTTTATTTTGTTCCAATTATCCTTTGACTAATAGAGGTTCAGTCATTATTTTTTCAATTTTTGATAGCAGCTCATGGGAACTAATTTTTCTCTTTAAGAAATTATAATTTAAAGTGAAAGGATTTAAACTTTTTAAGGCAAGGAATTCAGTTTTCCTCCATTATTTACACATCAAAGTTGTGAAAGCTTTACAAAGCCTATTCACTATTGTTTAGTCAGATGTTGCCCTTTCTTTGTAGGCTTGGGTGACAAATATTCATGCCTGCGTGTGGGGGCAGTCATTAATCTCTGCAGCTTTTCTGCTGTCCACTCTACTTATACCCTGGAAGAACCATCTCCTACATTTTAGAGGTTTAAGGTTTGGGCTTCTTTTGTTTCTAACTCACCAAACTAAACTATCTGGTTTGTTCAGCTTTCTGCTTTGCACATGGTTTTAAATGAGGGTTCATCATGTATAGCTTTTATTATTTAAATGTTTACTTAAAATACTTTTCATTGTGGGTTTAGATAAATTAAGAGGAATTAAAGTAGTAACTTTTTCAATCTGTTCTTTTTAATTCACAGTTCAGTACGGTCTAGAACTAGATACCTTGGTCATTTATTTCCTTTCCTGGTTTATAAAAATGAGAAGCAATCTTAATATTTGTACTGTATATTTCAGTACATAAAAGATTTATATGTGTGAGTATGTATGTGTAAGCTTTTGGGAAATTAAATATACCTTAACTCAAGAATATGTAGAATATTAAAATAAGATATTTTAAAGGTCTGTTGTAGGTTTCAGTTCTGTTTGAGAAGTCAGTGCTGTGCTGCGCGGTGGGTAAGCGGCTCTCGAATTGGACTGCCTGGGTTCATAGGCTCTGCCACATGTTAGCTGTAGGACCTTTAGCAAACTGCTTAATTTCTCTGTGTCGTGAGTTTCCTCCTCTGAGGTTCTCACCCCATTGGGTGGTTTTAAAAATCAAGTGAGATGATTATTTTGTACTTAATCAGTTATGAGGTATATAGTAAATTAAGTGAATACTTTTCATAGTTACCTGTGTGTACCCCCTTTTTAGCAGAACTGTTTAGCTCCAGCTATTTTACTGATAAATTATGATTAAATTCAAAAAGTTTCTTGACACAAAAGTTGCTGTTAATCTGAATAAAGATATCAGTGTCTTCAAAAATTAAAATTAAACTGTCAAGAAGTAGGTAGTTCTAAGGAAAGTACATGGGTCAAACATGCCTGACTTTGAATCCTATCTGCCAGCTGGTAGTATCTGAAGTCTCTGTGTCTCACTTTTACTAATCTGAGAACTGGGAGAATAATCCCTATTTCCTTATGAGGATTAATGAAATAATAGAAATAAACTATCCATTTCAGTGTTTGCCACATGTTATTGAACAAATCTTTTTTTAACTGCCCTTTATATATATGTTAGATTTTATTAATGATTATTTACTTTAAATGTTAATATAGCCAAAACATATTTGTGAAATTATGCATGTAAAGTGACATTTCAATAAACAAGTAAAAAAATGGATGTATGGAACTAAGGCCATTTTAAAAAGAATATAACAAGTATTCTGATAGTCGATGATAATAACTTTGTTTCTAGACAGTAATAGCATGGGAACATCTGAGGTTTAAATCCGCCGCTTTGTATTTTTCCACTTGTCCCATTCTTTGGTTTCTTCTGTGAATTTTATTGAAGGATTTAATGCATGAGTATTAAACATGCATACCAACATAGTATAAAACTAATGTTCACATTTGGGGGTTTCTTTTCAAAAGCAGAAATTTAACTGCCTTGCATAATTACATATCTTTCTCCCTCCCCCTAACTCTTATGTAATTTATCAGTAAAAGGAGGAGAGAAGGGATGTATGTAGTAAGATTATTTTTCAAGAGTTGGAACAGTTGGAACCCTCAGTGTTGTTGACAGCTGCCAGTGGCTGAAGAAAATTCCCTCTCAGTAGAGCAGTGTCTGAATGATTAATAAAAGCAAGATAAAGAGGTGTGAACAATTCTTGTAATTAACAGTAGTAGGGAAGTAAAACTTTGATCCACAGCAGACTCCTTCCCCCAGATAGTTTTACACTTTTTCAGTGCTTGATATGTGTGAAAATGAATGTTATCATTCATCTAAGAAGATAATTCTGATGACTGGCTTTTATTTTGATTCCCTTAGCAGTGGATGGATTCACATGAAGTCTGTAATATTTCTGGTTGTTGTATTTTGGGTTAGAGAGTTCTCCATTAAGCTCCATCAGTTAAATTCCCAGTCACTTTTTTGCATATGTCAATACGATATTTTTTTAAAAAAAGCTCTTAGAACTTTAGATTTTCAGTTCCCAAACTACATTCCCCCAAACTTGAGGGATAAACATCAGGTCAACAACTTTTTATTTGCCAAGTATGGACATTCAAACAAACAAACAAACAAACAAACAAAAAACACTTTCCAGTTGCTGTCATTATCATTTGATGAGAGAAAGAGCATTTTAAAATCAAAGAAGCAGAGAGGATGTAGAAAAGGGTTATTTTTAAGGAAGAACAGATTCTATGAAATATGGAAATGTATATGTATAAAATATGTACTATATTATCCAATAATGATATAATAAATAATGCCTCTCCTTGCCATGAGATTATGAAAACTATATTGATGAACCAGCATTTAGGAATAACTGGTATAAACAGAATAGCCAATGAGTTACTTTAATTTTTGTCATTTGGTTGTTTTGGGAGCTCATCATCACAAACTTGCATCTGGCATTAAAATCTAGCATTTTATTGTGCTGCCTACCTGTATTTGAATTTTCCTCCTAAATCAAGTAGGAGAAGTAACCCAAGTGTGAAGAAATGATGAATAATTAACTCTAACTGATAAGTCCTGTTTCATATTCTTGTGCATACAACCTTAATAAAATGCAGTCTGTTGACCCTTTTGCTTCACCTAATCTTTAAGAAAGTGTTCTGACAGTTTTACAGACCCTTTCTGATTGTCAATAGGAATGGAGGAGCAAGCCCTTTGTGTTAAGTGAGGGCACATTTCAAAAGTGGCTTAAGTTTCTTTGTATGAAGATGAGTTTACATAATAAAATACTTACTTAGCAAAACTGAACATTTTGCCACTTTTATTTATAATCTCAGTGTTTCTATTCTAACTTAAATTATTACCAGTAAAGGCAGAGTTCCAGAAGGTCCCAAACCTTCAGCATCTCATTTCTTGCCAGTTTACACACTTTTGAGTTGAATGACCTAGGATGACCTTGTGGTAGGCTTGCTTCCACCCTCTTAAATCCCTTTGATTTGGAACCTTCTGTGCTTCAGCAAGGTTGAGTTTCTTGTTACAATTCTATTATTATTAAAATTGTAACTCTTGTTCATTGAAATTTCCCACAAAGCAATGGAAACTACAGTCTTTCATAGAATTTTTTGGCCTCTTTGTTTGGAAAAACCGACAATGGTTTTCTCATATGTACTGTGATTAAAAGGAACTCATACATGGGTTCTGTAGAAAAAGACAGCTTTCTTGCTTTAGGGGATAGAATTCTTTGAGCTCTTTTTACTGTTTCATCAGTTACCCTGATTTAGATCATATGTTCATTTTCCTTTAGGCAGAAAAGGCATACCCTAGAGAAGGCTGGGTAAACATCTAGGAATCTGTGAGGACTTGGGAAGCCTAGAAGTAGAGGTTTCAGTCACTTCCACAGGAGGAGGTTGTGAGTTACCCTAGGGCTATCTTCAGCCTGAGTGAAAATGCAGCAGTTATTCTCTCTATGAAAGCGGACCCCAGACTGCTTTCTGGGCAAGGAACTCATCAGTAATTTATAAAATTTCTCGATCATTTCTTACTACTTAGTTGATTTCTTCAGGCTAATTTAAACTTCTGAGAACCTGTGCTTTCTCTTTGGTAAATCTACCTGTTCAGAGAGACAGACAGTATTATTTAAAAGTGATGATTCTGAAGTCGTAACAGCCCAGGCTTATTACTTAGAGTCAAGATGAATAAAGAATTAAAAATGAATAAATACTTAATTTTTTCTCTCCCCTCTCCATATAGAAAAGAACGCCCTATATCATTAGGGATTTTCCCATTACCTGTCGGCGACGGATTGCTCACTCCAGACACTAAGAAAGGCGGAGAGACCCCTGGGTCAGAGCAGTGGAAGTTTCAGGAGTTAAGTCAACCACGTTCTCATACCAGCCTGAAGGTAAATTTTATTTTGCTGAAATATTCAATTTACATTTTATAAGGTTTTTAGATCCAAATTGAAGTACTAGACAAGTAAAACATAATAAAAATTAAATTGTTTATATTTTAGTTGCTAAAACTGTTTTTTTTTTTAAATGAGGTGTTCCCAAAGAGTTTCAGTGTTTACTCTTCTTTTTCAAGTTATTAATGATACTAATGACCAAAGTTTCTATTTGATTTAGGCTATATATAGGAATGTAAGGTGGGGTGTCTAGTGAACCTAATTATGTTTTTTAGAATTGAAAATCATTTCCACCTGAAATCCTGGTTCTCTGTTGGGTGCTTTGCAATTCAGTAGAGCTTCACTTTTAAAAAATTGGTTCCTTCCTCAAATCCTCTGTAAAGCAATATCCAAAAGTACATTGTGTTTCACTAAAAAGACCTGGTGTTAATTCATCATTGAGTATATTCTTGACCAAGAACTTGTCATCAAATAAATTATAGATATGATATATAATATATACCATAGTATATACATAAAAATGTATATACATTATTTATATACATATAGTATATACATATAGTATCATATAGTATAATACATAAGTAATGTACTCTAGGTATGGAGATACACTAATAATTAGGTTTTTTAAAAAGAAGGTTTATTTATTTATTTATTTATTTATTTATTTATTTAGAGAAAAGGGAATGGGGGGGAGAAAGGGAGAGAAGCAATGTGGTTGCCTCTCCTGTGCACCCAGCGTGACCCCAACTGGGGACCTGGCCTGCAACCCAGGCATGTGCCTTGGACCTGGAATCAAACCTGCAGTCTCCTGGTTTGCAGACCAGTGATCAGTCCGCTGAGGAACACCAGCCAGGGCTTAATAATTAGTTTTTTAAAAATATTCAATTTGTATTCTATATCTTATAGTGGAATACTTATATACTTATAAAAGGAATGTTAATTATAAAAGAATCTTGTGCTCTGGCTGGTCACAAACAGGTCACCTACAGTGAATACAGATGAGTTATTTACATCTTAATTCTTTTTCCTGCTCTCTTTTTTTCTCCAAAGTACTTACCATAGTCTTAAGTATTTGAAGATAGCTCTTAGGATATCTCTAAAATACTAAATAAATTACTTTATCTGTTTCTCACCACAAAATCCATGCGGTTTATTTTCTGCTGTATTGCTAGCCTTTAGAAAAGTGTCTAACCCATGGTGGCCATTCAGGACATGTTTATTGAATGAATTATTAATTTTGGATGTTAGAAAGACTTTTTTAGGATAATATAAAATGGTCTATATCTCAGCTCGAGAAGATGGAGGTATTTAGAATCATTCCATTGACCTTTGAAATGTACTCAAAGCACTAAGCAGTCAGTAAATACTTGGTAGCTTTTCTTCTCCTGAAAACTATTTTTAACAGTAAGACTGACCTCACCTTTTTTCCTGTCTCTTTTGCTGTTGCTCATTTTATTAGAAGCTAATCATGCAGCTGCTCGGTATCAGTCCACAGTGATGCCACCAGGAAATTCTCTTTCTTTACTGCTACAGCCACACTGGTTTTTTTAGCCTGTCCGTGGGTTTAACAGATCTTCTAAAATACCCATCCCACAGTCGCCTACTTGCCGTGTCCCTTTCCCAAAACAAAATTGAGTAGGAGGGACACTTTTAGGACATCAAAAATGTATGCCACATGGTAACAGCATTTTAGTTACTATACAAAAGGCACCTTAAGAGAAGAGTGTTATAATTTTCTTGTTATTTAATCCAATGACAGGCTGTGACAGAACTTTACTGGCAAGTTATAAATTGATTAACAGACCATTAATATGGACTTAATCATAGGGAGTTTTTTTGTATGTCCTCCCAGAGATAGTAAGGCAAGTACTCCCCGAAGAGTTTTTAAAATAAACACCTGTCTCTACTCTGACTATGGAGCCACTAAATGAGATAAAGGCTTAACAGATGGGGATTTCCAGGAACACAGTGGTACATTATAAAATATCAAAAGTCTAGTTTGTAAAGTAGGGCTAATCGTTAGAACATTTTATTTACCCAAGCCCTTGTTATTAACCAGATGTCTTTAACTTCACGAAAGGCCAGGAGTCAGTTTAGTGTTACTTGTGGTCTGCTTCACTTGTACCCGCTAGTCCTGGTTTCTGTGCATCATGGGAACTGGATTAGACTATCTCTAATTTAAAGTAGTTTGCAACTTTCATTTGAGAACTTTAGGGTTGACTGGCTATGTTTAGGGCATGCTTTGCCTTCATTATGAAAAAAACTGAAGATGAGAATTATAATTAATATTAATTTTACTAGCACAGTTTTTTTCTGTGAATTCAGGTTAAGAGAAAAATGTTCTGTGAGAAAACCACATAATGGGTTATAACCAAGGAAACAGAACTGTAGCAAACTTTGCGGCAGAAGAATGGCAGTCAAGGGGATTTGCCAGTGATAGTAAAGTCATGGACCTTCTTTGTTGCTGTATCTCAAAGTTCTCATTGTAAGAAATTTATAGTCAAATAAGGTTATATCTTCAGGTATTAGAAAATATGCCAAGAATAATGCACGTAGAAAAATGTCCACCTTGTCCTTCAAAAGAAGTATTTCTACATGCTCTTCCTTCACTTATTGTATACTTGTGGGGGAGATCAACAAACAAGTACATAAATGAAATAACAGAATTTCAAGTATTATTATGTGCTATTAAAAGAAAACAAGGTAAGGGGATAGAAAAGAATTAGTAGGGGAGGTGCTTATTTTAGGACGGTGAGGGAAGGCACTTCCTGGAGAAGGTGACTTGTTCCTTGACCTGAGGGATGTGCATGCACGTGGAAAGGTCTGGAGGAACGAGTGTTTCAGGATGATCAGATGGCATCTGTAAAGGCTCTGAGTGGGGACAAACTGGCATGTTGGAGGAACAATTGTTTTATCTTCATCCCACTCCTGAGACTTTCAGTCCTACCTATTATACCCACATCCCTTTTCTCCGGGTTTCCCACAACAGCCATCTTGAGGAATCTAATGGAAAATTATCAGTCCTCACCCCACACTGTAGCAGCATTTGACACACTTGAATACTCTGCTTCTTGAAATGCTTTTTCTTTACTCTGCTCCCAGGACAACACTCTTTCTCACTCGTTTGCTTCGCCGCTCCCTCTCCATTGCTGCTTTTGGACCTCTAAGTGTTGGAGGTCCCAGACCTTAAAGCTCAGTCTTCCTCGCTACTTAATCTGGGTCACTCAAGGTCCATGTCTGTAAATGCCATCTACACATCCAATGTCCACACATTTGAATCTCCAACTGTGACACCTTTCCCTGAACTCCAGACTTCAGCGTCCAGTTGCTTTTCTTTATAATAGTTTTCCCACATACATATTTGTATCCTGCTCAGGTTACCACCAGTAAAGAAATACTCTTTTTCAAGGTGATTCTAAATGCCACAGCTTACATGAAGCCTCGCCTGATACCCTGTAGATGGTCTTCAAGTCTAGCTTAGAGGTCAGCTCAAGACAAAAAAGCAGAGAAAGTTTTTATTGAATCATTAACAGAAATTTTTTGCTGGGAGCCTTCTACTGAAATTGGTAAAAAGCAGCTTCCTACATTAATTGACCAAAACTGTACTATTAAAAAAATATTATTAAAGTTAAGGCTAGGGATGGGCAAAAATATTAAGGCAGGGTTATTTATCCAATTGAGTTATATTTGTGAATAAGCTGAAAATAAGGAATTGGAGAACGAAAGGCCAGGAATAACCCATGATAGTCCTGAAGAAGAAAAAGAACTTGGTCCCCTAGATACCTTGACGCACTATAAAGCTGTAATTAACAAGATGAGGTGCTGCTGCATAAGCTGCCCTTCCTCTGTTATTTCTGCACATTTCAGTCCTGAAGCTACTAAGCAGGGCAAAGCGAGTTCAGTGTTCACAAGATGGGGTGGGGGTAATGTCAAAACCCGAGCAAGGTTAGGAGAGTGCCCGTGTGGGGATAGCCTGCTGTAGACAGTCAGGGCCCCAGTGGTATGAAGGACATCCCTGCAGAGGGACAGCCACGCTTGGACGGGTGTCAGATCCTGAACACAGTGATGAAGACCTCCCTAAGGGAAAGCTCTAGGCATAGGGTGTCAGTCTGAGCAGGTGAGGAAGCCCGATGCTTCCTTATGCAGCATCCTGGGGTGGGGGTGGGGGCAGTCTAGAATGGAGAGAAGGCAGAAGATGTATGGGGAGAGAAAGGGGCGGGGGTTTATAGTGGCAACAAGGAGAGGCAGCAGGAGACAGGCCCCTGGAAGTCAAGGGACAATAGAATTTTAGAATGGAAGCAGTTGTTAGCAGAGTCAGCTGTATGAAGTCAGTCAGGATGAGGACTGAATTTGTAGGTATAGGTTTAAGCAGTTTGAGTTGCAGGGCCAATAACAAGAGTGGATGTGAATTATGAAAGAAGGAAATACAAAGTGTAGATTACTGAAGAAAGTTGCTGTAGTGGGAGGAGAGAAAAAGGATAACTTGAGGTGGCAGAGTGGAGGGAAAAGTACTCTTAGAATGGGAGAGACAGGGTTGTTTGTAGGCTTAGAAGAAGAATCCAATACAGAAATTGAAAACAAGGGCATAAAGGAAGATGATACATCAGAATAAATAGTAGAGGAAGGGTGGGGACGAAGGGGATCACATATCCTAACAGCATTGAAATCTACTCTGTCGATGGGATACCTCAGTTTTTCCTAGTCTTTTGCTATTACAATGCTGCAGTAGATAATTGTGTGCATAATTTTTTTTTGTACTTGTGTTTATAATTCCCATAGGTGGGATGACTGGGTAAAAGAATATATTTAAGATTTTGATAGATGTTGCCAAATCACCTGCCAAAGGGATTGTGTTTTCACTGGCAATGCTGTATAAATTCTTTATTGCTTTATAAGTTTAGAGTTCACATATTCCTCCTTTATGCCCAGATACGGAGAGAAAAAATATTTTGATATATATCTTTCACATAAAATGTTTCTGCTTTCTCTAGACC